GACTAATTACTTATTTTTTTAAATATATATAAATATTTTCAATTTTTTTTATATATAAAATATATTACAATGATAAATATAAAACATCATATAATTTATCATAATTTAAAATGATTATAAAAAAAGAATAAATTATTTATATGGATTATCATTTTTTGATTTCTTCTAAAAATATACAACAATTTTCTTTTTGAGTCCTTAATTTGTTTTTTTCTATGAATCGGTTAAGCTTGTTGAGGTAGTAATGTTAATAGGAATTACGCTTTTCCAAGAATAAATGGATTTCGTTGGTATAATGGTAAGCTTTTTCCCCCTAATATTTTGTAATTATAAGCATGTGTATGAATCATATGAAAACCTTATTATTGCAAGCACTATGCAACATGTATTTATATGTATTTATCAAATTATATAATATATAGAGAGTGATATATTTTCTTTATAATAAAATAACACAAACATTGTGCGTAAACTGTTTATTTCCATCTATGTTTAATATTTGTTGTAAATACAATAATATTTCACTTGAATAAAATCATTAAATACTAAATTATTTTATGTCATGTTCTTGAATTTATCATGGACACTATGTTATATAATAGGCAAGCGCATATATTATACAGCTAAAGGTGTGTCTTGCTTTTCTAAATTAATACTAAATAAATAGTATAAAATATAAGGTAAATAACTACATATATTTATACAAAATAAATATTTTTAAAAAATTGATTTTTTCATTCCTTCTAAATTATAAATATTTTTGCTTTATTAATTATCAACATAAGCATTTAAATAATGAGAAAATAGAATATCTATCACAAAATAAAACGTTTTATGATATTTTCTCATTATAAGAATTGTTATAATAAATTATTAGTTTTCAAATATTTTAAATATTTGTTTAAACATTCATATTTATGTAACTAATGTGTAAATTTTTATAAAAATAACTATATTTAGAATTCTAAAAAATGCATCATATTGTGAAATATATGACCTAATTTATTTACTGTAAATAAATAAGAAATAATAGCCAATATTTATATTAATTTTTTATATTTAAGATATATTTTTGTCAATCATTGTACACTATACATAGTGTTTTATTAAAAAAAGTATGTGAAATATACACCTATTATTTCGTACAATTAATTTTTAATTAATTATATTTATAAAAATACGTATGAATAAACATATTACTGTCGCATAATTTATAAATTATTATATCTTATGCTACTAGTAGCAAAATTAATCATCCTGCTCTATGATATACATAAATTTAATGCAACTATATGTGTGTGCTCGGTATATAATAAACATCAACAACTATATATATACGTGGGTAAAAATTTTGTTGTAAAATTTAAGAACAAAAATAGTTTATTTCATGTATTTCTTTTTTTATAAATTATTTAACAAATCGTGTAGGATAAAAAATGTACATAAATATAAAGAGTAATTGAGAAAATTTTACAGATATAAGTAGAAATTAATATATTTTTATAATGCATATACAAAAAATATGTACTCAATATTTTTTATTACATAAACATGGGATTTTACAATAATTGAATGAATATGAATTTCACTCTATATTAATAGTAATTATAAAATATACCTGTTATATGTTGTTTAAATATGAAGTAATAATATTCGAAATTGCTTTGACTATGTCATATGAAATATATATATATTATAATAAATTTCTTACACATAATAGCATTAAAAATTTTTTTATTTTCTTAATTTTTGATAAAATGTTCACACTACTTGTAAATTATAGAAATAAGATACATCTGCTTAACCATGTTTAAAAATGTAAATAATTTAAAAGGAAAAATGTTAAGAAATTCAAAGATATGCATGATAAAAAAAATTTTAAATACATAAAAAAATCAAATTCATCATTTAAATTCTATTAACTGTATTTTGAAAGATATATACACTTATTAAAAATATAAATTAATTGTAGCGAATAAAGGGGTGTAAAACACATAACAATACCTATTAAAATATGGAAAAAATAAATAAAAGTAAACAATAAGATAAAACAAAAATTTTCATAAATGAAAAATGGAAAAAGAATTTTATATAATAATATATTTAAATAACATTTACAAATTTGGCTAAAATATAACTTAATTTATCTTAATTTTAGAATATATATATATATTTGTGTATTCTATTTATTTCCTTTGAATAATTTTTAACAAATCAATTCAAATAATATTATTACATTAATGTATTCTTTTAATTCATTATTTTTCAAAGAGGAATAGAAATATACATATATTGTAAACATATCATTAATATATGTATTACTTATATATTATTCATTGAATTAAATTGTTATAATTCTACAATGATTATATATTATTCATATAAAACCCAGGAATTACGTACAGAATTAATATATGCATTAACATATTTTAGGGTTATATGTATTGACATTATAACACATGTATGTAGTATATAAATATTAAAACAAATATTATACTTATCATAAAAAATGTTCTCACAATTACTGATATATATATACAGATTTAAAATTACGTGTCGCAATATATTTAATTTAATTTATAAAATTATATTTAGGAATAATAGATATTATAAAAATTAGATATAAATTTTTTAAAATGCCTTTTCATTAATAAATATATTAATATAAGTATATTATAATTGTGCTTTAATGTTCTTATGAGTGCTGAATAAAAAATATATTGAATACAATTGTATACGGTGTCATTTTACACTCTTGTTTATTAGCCACAATATATTGTTGTAATGATTTGCTCTATTCAAAGTAATATAGGATTAATATTATTTTGTCCTCTCAAAAACGTATAATATTTATATATTAATTATATTATATATTAGTTAAAAGTACATTTTTTTTTAATTTTTATTTAAGTTCACGATAAAAAATTGGTTTTAATTTAATTAATTTTTATTAATACTTTTGGTAATTTGTTTTATGAACATTACATACATTCCTATGTTAAATATTACGTCACTATGTGTCTATATAAAAATTTTGTGTGTTTTTTGTTTAGATGTACAATTTTAATCCATCTATAATAAGCATTTATTACTTTTAGATATAAGTTTGTAAAAACATTCATAGTGTATTAAATTATGTTACTATATATTATATCTATTTTTTTATAAGATCTTATAATTGTACAAGTATATATATTGGCTAAAACTTGTAATTTTTGGAACAAAAATAAATTAGTGTTCATCTTTTAGCAGTGGATCAAAATTAACATTATATTTTCACTTATAGTACAGAGAAAATTGGATATATTTTATTATTTAAAGAAATTTTTAGACATTTTCATTCTTATTAATAGTTACGTTTTTTTTTTTTTTCTTTTTGGTACAATATAATAGCAGATTAATATAATTTTATTTTATAAAACAAATTAAATTGATCTCTTATGTGCTATTTATACAATTATTATTAATTTAATGATGCATATTCTATTATGTAATTTTTATCATTTAAATTGTCGTATGTACGTTCAAAAAAATCCGTTAAATTCTCATATTCATTATATTTTTTACATCCTAATTTTTTTAACCTATTTATCAGATGCTGTATATAGGAACCATAATTGGTATACTGTAAATAAGGAACAATATTATATTTTGATATATGGTAATATACTTCAGGTATGATTTATATAATAATATTTAATATATATATCGTTAATGAAAATTATTATTAACCTTATATAAAGTGAATATAATTATAGATATACAAGTCATTCCGGTTAATGAAGCTAAAATAACCTTGTGCATATATTTCCCATAATAGGATTGTAGGATTTTTGGAACGCCTGCGCATCCAGGCACGCTTTCCATAAAATGATTATATTCCTCTTTATATTTTTTCAGTACTTCACAAAAACTATTATTATTCCCAGCGTTACATATTTTTAAAAGATTTTTATATATTAAAACAGAATCCTCAGTAAATTTGCAAAAAGGTGGCTGTTTATCATAATTTTCTTCACTAGTAATATCAGAATAATCTAATGCAACTGCTTCAGTAGTTTCTTCAGTATTTTCTGTACTTTGAGGACCTTCATAACTTTTATTATAAAATTTCATTTTTTCAAAATTATCATATAGTTCTTGAAGTTTTTCTAATATGTATAAAGTATTATTATCAAGATTTCCAACATAATCTTGGCATTTATTTATTTCTTCATCTTCATATTCTGATTTGTATTTTTCTATCAGTATTCTGTAAGCTTCTTTTGTATTCTTATTAATAAAGGTTAAACTCTCTAGTTCTTCATTTAACTTGAAATTGAAATATCTACAGTATGGTCCAATATTAATATTTTTTTCATCGTATATATATTTTAAATATTTAATAAAGCGCTGACAAACTGATAAAAAATAATAATCTCGATCTCCGAATTCTTTGCATATTTCACTGCACACTGTTTTATAGGTATTATAAGTTGAGTCACCTCTATTTTGTATGTTTTCACTGTACTTGTTTTTACATGTGGGAAACATATCCTTAAAATCAAACTAAAAATTGAAGTCACATAGTATACATAATGTAAAAATATTTCTAGAAAAATACATTTTCATTATATTAAAGAACTATCATATTTTAAAATAAGTTGAAGGAATTATATTTATAATAACATATAGAATCATACATTATTGTTAACGGCTATAGTGTTACCCATTATATTTTCTTCGAGTGAGCCGATAAAAAAAAAAGCCTTTTTTTTTTTATTAAAAAAAGGTTGTGTTTTAATAATATATGAATAAAAATAATTTTTATACAATAAATATATTCTTCATTATTTATAAAATTTATATAATTTCATAAATAAAACACATCTGATTAATTCATTTCTTTTATTAAACCCCAGTATTATAATTGTTTGGAATAGAAAAAACATTTTTTATATTACATATAAATAATAATTATAAATTGTTATAATATCGATTTCTTATAAGAACATTAAGTAAGAAACAATAACATTATAATTATGTCATACATACAACACTGTTACAACATAATAGTTTTTTGATGAAACAATTTATTTGTAATATACATAATGAATATTTTTATCATTGTATGCTTGCATATCTTTAATTAATTTTATTCATTGTAGAATAATTAATGGAATAATTAAATATATGTGTTTAAAATTTAAAAATAATATTTGCAAAAAAAAATTTTATCCTCAGTTTTGTTGTTAAATCCTTAGGATTGACACAATTAGTATGAATAATTTCATCCATTTTATGAAAAATATTATTGATATATAATAAAAATATTTTTCTGTAGTTTTCATTAATTTATGAATAATAGACGTTTTGAAAAAAATAAATTAACCTTATATAAGATGTGCCATTATGATAGAATAAAATTTTATACTATAATTTTATGAATACTTTATTATTTTTTAACTATATCTATAATAAACCTTATATATATTAATACATATGTATATAAGAGAAGTATAATAATTTCATTATAATATATATATATAATTAAATATATTTAATTAGTTATATAATCCGTATTATTAATTATTCACTGTATTCTCATGAATATTATATAATTCAATGTAACCTTATGCATTGATTGATGCAGTATATACATTTATCAAAATAATAATTTTCGAGTACATTAAATTTTAGTATTTAAAGAACATGTTTTTGTTTTTTCTTGTTATTGTACAATACAAAATTACTTATTACTTTTGCTTTAATATATGTTTTTTTTTCTTTTTTTTTTTGCTCATCATGTGAATTGAAATTATATATGTTGAGAAATTATATTAAATTATTTGTATGTGAAACAAATAATATATGCAACGTATATTACATTGGATAGGTGAGATTGAAAATAAAAATAGGATTATATCTATTGATATGTGCTTATATAATACATGGAATGTTATATGAAATATTATTAGTTTTTTTTCATGGAATTGTTTATTATTGCCCAATGAAGAATAATCTATGTAAATAACAAATAAATACATATCACATAAATTGTAATAATTCAGTGTAATATATGAATTTTATTTTTGTTATGTGAATATGACACTATAATGCAAATGTTACAATGTATTACATTTATATATGTATAACAAAATATTACTATTATAATCTGCAAAAGGTTACTAAAAATTTTTTTTTATATATAATACAAAATAATTATAATAAGTTAAACATAAAAATTACTATTTTACTATATAATAAATATCTTGTATTATATAAAAAAATTTATGTGCTTAATTTATCATTTACTTTTCGTTTCTTGTATATATATATTATAATAACTGTAAAGTATTTGGATATGATGTTTTTCTTATTCATATTATTATCACCATTGTGAATTTGTGAATATTATAAGCATTAAAACTTTTAGAATTAATTTGTTATCATATAATTCTTACGTATTATAACATGAAAATACATATATAGAGGAAAGAAAAAATTTCCAGCAAAAACAAATAGAACATAAAGTATTATATTTTAATATTTGTTTTATGTAAAATATTATTCTATTTTTGAAATTATAACCAATTTAATATTCAATAATATTATATTTATATGTTACATATCTTTATATTTATTGAAATATACATACTTATGGAGGAAAAGATCACTATAATGATTGTAATATTAATATAAATATGATCTTCATTTATATTAACCAACAGAATTCATAAAATGATAAAAATCATACAAATTTTATAAATAATTGTTATGAATAATGGACATAAATAACCATACATAGTACATGATAGATTCCAGAAAATGAAAAATTCAAATTGAGGAAAATTTTTTTTAGTTATTCTTAGAAATATATAAAAGTATGTATATATATAAATAACAAGTAAATTCAGAAATTTATGGTAATAGATCAAACTTCCTTTAGAGATTCAGAAGCACTAATTGAATAATAGGTATAGATTCATTGTACTTTATACAATAAATAATATAGTAATCATCTATAATTAGTGTAAGCGTTAAATTGATAACGCTATTTGTTTAATGAATGATGTAATTTAAAAAATAAATTCAGGTTTGCTGTTATTTTTATATAAGATGACTAAATATATTAAATCATATCTTTGAGAAAATATATCACATAAAATAGAGGAAGATGGTTCAGATACAATTGGAATTATATACCCATTTATTCAGTAATATGTATTTTCATATTAGAGGATATAACTTTAGGAACCTTCTAAATTATGGAAGTAATTGTATAAATCTACGAACTAAAATATAGTATTATGGCATAATTATTTCTTAATATATAGTTCAAAAAAGGAGGATAGTTCTTTCAGGAAATAGAGATTAAAAATATATTTTTCATCTAGCATATCAAGTTATAAAACTTTTATGAGACAAATATATATGCTCTTTTATCATATTAAAATAAAATTTAAAATATACACATTGAAGAAATTTCATATATATTTAGTGATATGCATATGAAAAAATTAGATAAATTCTTGGAGAACATCAATAAAATTAGTATGGTTGTATTATTTTCATTAAAATTATTGGTTTTATTGATCAGTATTAAAAAAATTTTTTTTTATGATACATAAATAATTCTTATATTTTAGTAATAACATCAATATATATACAAAAACATAATGTGTGACATAACGTCATGTAATATAATAAATTTCAAAACATAGATGTTAGCATTTTGTAATTTTTGTTTATTTTTATAATATATAATTATTTCTTAGGCATAATTATCAAAGTGGTTAATAAAATATTTTAAGAATTAGTGGCTATTCTTTATAATTAAAATAATTCACATTAATGAACTCCACATTATAACTGTGCTTAATATAATAATTATGCTGATATATGTAAAAAATCATGTAATTAGTGGATTAGATCTGTAAAGATATATATTATGCTACCAGTAATAAAATTAGTTAAAATTCAATGAATCTTTTACGTAAAAAATGATGTTTATTAATTCATTCAACAGCTTGAAGGAATTATGAAGACATAATATTTTATTATATATAATAATTCTATTTTCTATTATGATGTAACGATTTAATTAATATTTTATATTAAAATTAAATTTAATTATTAATTTAAATGTATTTATATTACTTTAAAAATTATGAGTACATTATATATATGTATAGTCAATTTCTTTCTTTCTCTTTTTTCTTAATGTTACATTATATTATTTACTTTGTGAGTAAACAACCCTTAATATGGAAAAATATATGTGTTATGATTTATGAAATCCTAATAAAGTTATAAGTCTTATTCTCATATGTATTAAAAAACTAGGGACAATTATTAATACAAAATATTTTGTTATATTCTATACAAACTATGGTTAATATATAGAATAAAAATATAATAAATATTAAATATATTATGTAAAGGATTGTGCTCAGATAACAATTATATATGTAAAATATAAATATATATAATTATAAGAAAGTCATATTTAATAACTTGCTTTTCATAAAGAACGAATATTCTTCATCTTAGATCATATTATAAAAAAACCCATTTATGGTAATTCATTGCAATTATTGATGAATATAACATATTGAACATAATGATTCAATAATGTGTTACCTTTTTTAATAATATTATTTTTATAAAAAAATTAAATTAAGAAGTGGTATAATACATATATTTTTATATATGGAATTACACGATTAGAATTATGGGAATATGCAGTTTTCGAAATTAAAATATCGTAGTATGTAGTTCATGAATGAAAGGTTAATTATTATATGTAATGTAAATAATTCATAAATCTTACAAGTAAAATGCCCTTATTAAAACTAAATCGTGAATATCTGATTAAATGAAAGTTGAAATGGAATTAATTAAGGCATTTTTATTAAGCTTTCTTTAGATTTATTTTGTTTATAAAGTAGATATATTTATATGTAATTTGAACAGAATAAAATGAATCTTGAATATTTTTTTAATGTACGTATGTGTAATTATTTTCTTCACTATGAAATATTATGTATACAATCAAAATTAATGTATATATTATATTATTTTTGCAAACATATTTTGATATTATCTAATAAATGTTTATTTCACATAATAATCTTTATTAAATGTATATATATATATAATAATAAAATTAGTCGCAGCTATATGACATATTATATCCCATATCAGATAATATATTTACAGGAATTTCGGATGACTGCATATTATTCCATTCTTCATTTATATGATTTCGTATATTTAATATTCTTTTTATTCTACGAGTTATATTTGTACGATATGGTGTAAACTAATTTATAGAAAAGAAAAATGTATTAATTAAAAATATAATATATTAAAAATGAATTGTACATTTTAAAATTATGCATAGAAATTAATATAAAACGAATTTACTTAAAAAATATCACAATTAACCTTAATAAAAATAAATAGAAATACTAATAGAATCACAATAACTGTAATTATAATAGGAAATGATCTATTATTTTGGCATGGGTGTGATATTATGGTTTCACAACTTTCACAAACTTCAGTTTCTTTTGGCGTACTATTTTTATGTAAAATGACATTTATTGCATTACATAATTTATCGTCATTAATATAATCACAGTATTCTTTTACAGTATCAATACCTTTATAAATGTCGTACATAGATTGTAGTATATTATTTTCTTGGTCGTTAATAATAGTGCTATATTTTCTAACATTACAAACATTTTTTCCAGGTGTTTCTATGGAAAACAAATCTCTATAAACTGCATTTATTTCTCCAGATAAACCAATGGATTTTAATTCATTATATATCCAAAAATATAAGTAAAAGCAAAGTGAATCTCTAGATATTTTATTAGAATTTTCATTTATTTTAGACGCAAAATTCACGGCTGCGTTACATTTTTTAATATGGAATTTCTGCATTAAATTTGACTGTGCGCCAAAAACACCACTAGTACAATGATGATTATTACTATCTTTAGTTTTAATATAGCTTTCTATTATTGTGTTACATTTAGGAAAATTTTCCACTAATCTATACTAAAAAGAAGAAACAGAATCATATGCGCAATATAATATTCTGTTGAACAATTTTATATTATAATATTTAAAATAGTATATAATTTTATTATTGAAATTTATATATATTATTAATAATATACATTAATTGTATCCATCTTAGTTAAGATATAAAATTTGCATATGACCTATGGACAGTAAAGAATATTGAGGGTACTTGAGTTTATATTTTTAAAAATAAAGATATATATTATAATGAATCATATATTCCTTTTATTTAGTTACTAAAGTTCATTAAAAATTGTCTTCCGCTTTCTAGATAATTAAGTAACATCTAAAAAGAATTTTAGCAATTATGTCTTAATTATAATATAACTATTAATTATTAGTGCTCAAAATCATTAAATATATGTTTTTTATTTATTAAAATTAAAATAATAAAAACATCATTAAAAAAATATAATATTAATATTGTCATTATAATAAAAGTTATGAAATTTTACGAAGACTCTATATATTATATATATATATATATTTTATATATGTTCATATTTTGAGTATAAAAAGTTATTTGGCTTTCTATCCTGAGACATTGTATTATTTTTAGTTATATATATAATTTTAGGTAAAAAATAATAAATAATAATGTATATAAGAAGTAGCGTCCAGGATTTATTAATTCCGTTATTCCTGCATATATATAATAATACACTAATTCTAATGGTTTATAGAATTTTATATGAGTTTTATATAATCACAATACATATTATATATTAACAATTACCTATTTTATAATTTTTTGTATTAATATAAAGGAAAAAAGTATTATTTTTTATGTATGTATATATTTATATTCATATTTATATTTTATATATATTAATAAAAAATTCTTGCTAAAATAAACATTTATCTTTGAAAAAATGGCATTATATAATTTTTTCATTTATGATGTATAATATAAATTCTTTCATTATCCTTTATATACTATTTTTGCAGTTTATATATTTTTACAGACTCGTAATATTTTTAGACTAATATTATAGAATATAATGATATAAATGTATGATTGTAAACGATATTTTTATGAATGAAAATATGAATTTAATTTTCTCTTTTTTATTTTATAAAAGAAAATTTATATTTTATATTTAGTGGTATATATAATTTAGTTTTGCATAAAACTACTATAACACAGCTGTATATTTTCCCTATTCTTAAAAAATATATATATATCTGATACTAATTTTATATATATGTGCATTCTATAAAAAAAAAATAATAAATTATATTAATCAGAAGTATAAAAAAAATGTAACTAAATCCGACTAATCAAAAAACTACAAAATTTTATTTTGCGATCTATTTTTTTATCCAAATAATATTTTTTGAAATATAAAAATACAGAAGAGCTTTGTTATTTTATGCACATAAAAGAGTGTTAGTTAATATATTATTAATTACACATAATGTTGTTATAATAAGATATTAGTTAACAATATATAAATGGACAAAAAAAAAAATAATTTATTTTTTATAAAATATCATTAAGGGCAATATTTATGTGAAGATTACATTTACTATTTATGTACGCATAATTTTGTAAATTTTAATTCTTATTAAAAGAAACGCATTCAATATATATATTTTTTTTTTTCTTTTTTTTAAATATCAAAGTGTATATAATAATTTTAATAACAACGAATATTTATACATGAAAAAAAAAGCATCATGAAAAGTGTATAAAAAAATAAATAGTAAAAAACTATTGTAAACAATATTAATATTATGTTCTTTTTTAATATGATACATTAAAAAAATAGAAACATAACTAAATTTATAGAAAATTCAAAAGGAAAATTTTATAAAAAGAGGTATAATATACTTTATTTTTATGCAAATCACAATATGCATTAAAAAACATTTTAAATAATGTATGAACAATTATTATATGTTCACATTATGAATTAAATCTGAATTTCAATAATTTTAATATTTTTATTAGATTTTTTTAATATTCATAATATTTTTCTAGGTGATGATATTCACTTTTGAAAATATAACAGATATATGTTTAATGTATTAATGGAAGAAACATATTATATCTTGTGTTCCTATTTAAAATTTTTTTGTAATTAATTTATATGCACTAGTGTTAATTTTCTTTTTAGAAAGTGGAGTTTTTTTAATTGATATTGAAATAACTTCCAATACGCCTACTACGATAAATTAAATGTTTTAGTTATGAAACATGTAAATATATTAGAAATAAAATATACATATACATTTTATATTATGACGTTATTAATAAATATTATCTTATATAATATATGTGAATTCTCAGTATCCATTATGCATTTTCTAATTCTTGTTTTTTTTCTAATTTCGCATTGTTTTATTTATATTTATAGAAAAAAGTAAAAGCATATAAAAAAAATATATTTTATAAGTATAATGGACGTTATCACTTCTAATATAAACACAAGGAAAATGCATTGATTTTGTTTAATATTATATAAACATTGGATAACAACAATTAATATATATATAATGGATATATATAAAGAACAAAAATAAAAAAAAAGAATTTTATAGGGTAATATATCCTGAAAAAAAAATTATATTTAACACAAGGAAAAAAAATAAAGGATAAATTTCAAGAAATATATATTCGTAATTTCACTAAATATATCTCATTCTCATATTGAGGATGCATATAAATTTATGTTATCAAATATATTTTAATCAAGAAAACACTCAGCTATATGTCAATACTACATTCTAGAAAGAAAAAAAAAATTGTTTTGATAATTTATTATGAAAAAGTGCTAGTTAAAATATTTATTTTCTTGTATACTTAATAGCTTATATTTTATATTAATATACTGTTCTTCTAAGATTCCTATATTTTATTATTGTAATTTTATATATAATATTTTGGTAATAGAGTTTATAAAATTTTACATAAAATATTATAACTATATAAATATAATGCTTTCATTCATCTCATGAATTTAGTTTTAAGTAGAATGCGAATTTTACATTATTTTTAGATAATATAATAAATTTTTTAGGTACAATGGATTTTGACTAATACGTTTTTTTCATATCGTTTTATATATGCAGAATATTATATAATGCTCAATAAAAACTATAGTGCTAAAAATAAAATTTGTCTAAAAAATAATTTAATAATACTTACACTTTACTTTGTATAGTTATTTAAATAATTATTATAAAGATGTAATATTATATTAATTATCTTACAATATATTTTATGGTACTATATGATAAGTATGATTTTTGATTTTGTGATAATGTTTAAACTTTTACTTTTTTTATGCTTTGTATAATTTTTATACTTAAGGATAATAACTGGAAAAATTAAAAAATTATTATTCCGCCTTAAGTATCATATATATTATGTAAATATTTGCATTAATAACATATTAATGCTTATAGAAATCTTTTTATACTTGATTAAATTTTATTTAAATAAAAACAAAAAATTTTAAAAATTTTATTCTTCATATATTTCTTTTTTTTTAAAATCTTTTTTATATCGGAGCCCTATGTTTCACATTTTTATTACTATATTTTTATTTAAGTAATCTATACATCTTATTTTTTCATATTAATCCATTTATTCTGATAACTGGTCGTAATTATAAATTGCTATATTACACGTATTGTTTTTTATAAATATTATTAATATATTATATTTTTATATATTTTATTTAAATATTTAATACTTATGATAGTATGTATGTAAATTCATAATAGTATATATCAATGAACAAGAACAATTAGTACTACTTACCTAATATTATATCAATAGTTACATCTTATTTATTACATTAAATTAATAGATACTTTAGTAATTATATTCCATTAGTTATTATTTCTTTTACAGCTTATATTTATTATGTTTATTCCTTGTTAATAAAATTCATTTTTATAATTTTATTTTTTTTGCATAAAACCTGTTATAATAAATACAATATATATACATTCACTATTGTAATGAGTAGTTTAGTGAGCTCTATATTGTTTTTTATTTTCCTTTGTAGAATTCATGCTTTGTCTGTTAAAATAAAATATGAGTTTAAAATATTCCTCTCTATGCTTTTTTACTTTCATTCTTAACTTACATACATTTGATTGTAAAAATAAACCATAAGGTGTTCATAGATAATAAGGAAATAATTAGATATATTCAATTATTCGTATTTTTTATTATATTAACTAATCATACTTTGTATAAAATAATATTTATCATGCGTATTTTATAATAAATTATATTTATTATATACCTTATAAAAAATTAATATAATTATAAATACCGCAAATGTTAAAATAGGAATGCCTATACTTATCCTTAAGAATGTTTCCTTCCATAATATTTGTGTTCTTTTTATTAATTGCTTCAGGTTGAATATGTTATTGGGGTTGAACTTCTTCTTTCGTGTGAATAAAGTATCTCAAATGTATATTTACATGAATTAATTTTGTTTTGAATTCATAACATGATTTCACGTATTTCAGTATATTATCCAAACACTCTTTTTCATTTAACAAAAGATTTTAAGAGGTTAATACATTTTGTCTTTATACTACAAGCGCAATTACATAACTATGTATAATTTACGATACAATTATATCTTTTTAAATTTCCTAAATTATTATAGGTCTCAGGAGCTTTTATCTACTTACAAAATGCACATAACTTAATACTTATAACTGGCTATTTGAGTATATTAGACATTTAATGATATGTCTACCTACTTACTTTTGCCATTATATTGTAGCATTTTATTGCTCTGTTATCAGATTATATTAAAATTTTTTAAGAAAATGTTTATTTTGTAATGTAAATATTTACATGTGTTTTTAATATATATTTACGTATTACATTCTCTTTTATATAAAGTAAATAGAGACAAAATAGCATAAAAGTTATAAATAAAGATCCCATTAATAATTGATCCGATTTACATCATTAATAAAATATTATCTCTCAATTATAAAAATTTTTTTCACTGGATAATCAATATTTCATGTAATTTTATTTCATAAATTTTTGAATATTGGAAACACATTATTACAATAAAGCTAAAAATAGACGTTATATTACGTAGAAAAAATTTTAGTTATTTTTTTAGAAAATAAATTCACATTTTGCTTTAATAATTAATTATATTTTAAAATTAATAAACCCATTTTATAACTTTAATAACGAGTTAAAAAATACAACACTCCACACATACATGGTACAGGCATCGTGATGTATAAAATTAAATTAAAACAAAGAGCTCTATTACCTTACTTATTGCTACAAAATATATATTAAAAATAATATAATAATTAAAATATTGATGTTATATATTTAAAATTATAATTTATATAATTCACGATATTTTTATGTTATTAATCTTATATATTACATCATAGCAAGAGTATGATTTTTTCGTTAAGGGTAACAATTTTTAATATATATGCATAATATAATATATATAGTGTTATACCTAAAATATATGAAAATATTAAACAAATTACAAAATATATTTCTCCATGTTCATATTTTTATAATTATTACAATAAATTTTAACAATTTGTATATAATGTTCCTCTAAATTTTATATTAATTAATAATGAGGTTATATTACATGTAACATTATTAACTTCATAATAGACATAAATTATATTTTCATATGCTATGCTATAATTTTTAAATTATATTTACTTCTTTTTTACCTTTTATTCTTTACTTTTTTAAATTTTTATACAAGAAATAAATTTTTATAATTCATATAAGGTTGAAACAATTATATTCTAATATATGCATACTGATCAACACAGTATAAAAATACTTATATACTTTTTAAAATAAGTATATTATCTAAAATAATTATGACATATGTAACAAACACATAAAATATATGAACTATAATTCCATTAATATATATTTATCATAGAATACAATATTATTCTGCATTTGTTTAAAAGAATTCAGAAGAAATAATATAAATTTATCTTATTCTTTTAGCAAGTATACAGTCTAAATTGATAAGCACTAATAAAAATATAGTCAAGTTTTAATGTACAATATAAATAAATTATAAACGCAATAAATAAACTATTAATATAATAATAGAAATAATAAACATCAAATATTTAAGGATTGTTCTTTTTTAAAAAAAATATATCGCAAAAGAAATAATATATTACTGCGATACATACAATTATGTTACTAATAATCAAAAAATAAGAAATGTATCATTGTTTAAACTTTGTATATTTGTGTATTGGGTAAATTATATCATAAATAAATATATTTTTGTAAATATGCAAAAGTAATATACATAATTTCTATTCTATTTAAAACATAAATTATTAGCTATATATTTGAATAGTATTTTATAATAATTTAAAATAATGATATATACAGTATAATTCTATTTTTTATGATTATATATGTCTGTATGAAAAAATTATTAGAATTATTTTGCATATATTAACACATATTATATAATAAATTTATTCATAGTATACATATAAACTAAATATGAAGAAATACACGTATATACAAATGTGATATTAGATTTTCTATAAAGACAATCTTATTATAATCGTTCTATTACTTGGATTTATTGTTCTTATTATATATTTCATTTATATATAATAAATATTTATATGGAAAAGCATTATAGGTAATCTGATGAATTATTATTCACCCAAATAATTAATTTGAAGTATAATATATTAATCATTGTTCTCAAAATTATGCCCAAACCTGAAACAACAAAATCTGAATAAATGATTATATTGAAAAAAAAAAAATGCAATATTCTAGAATACAATTTTATACATCTTAAACATAATTTAATACTGTATTAATACAATAATTTTAGATTAGCTAAAGAATTACGTACTTCTAAATATATTACCTATTATTTAATATATCTTTTTCTACTAATTAATATATTTTTTCTAATATATATATAGCTACAATTAACTTTATGCATTATAGGTAATATAAAATATAATATTACTTTTTTTTTCATCAAGAAAATTGAGATTTAAATGTATATAATTTTTAATTGTAAAAATTTTAAGTATACAGAAATAAATTATATAGGTTAATAGATTTTTGCTAAATTAACAAGTTAAAAAAAAAGAAAAAAACTGTGAAGCAAAATATATGATAGTTCTGAAAATGCGTCAATTGTATGTGTAATTATGATAAACCATAAGCAATTTAATATGAGTTTAATAAATCTTTGCTTGTAATACTGTAATATAATCATATTTATTACATAATAATTACACAGACATACATATAATTCATTAAATAATAGGTTTCCCCAAATAATGATTATATATTAAATTGTTAAATATGTGAAATCACAAATATATGTTATTAGAAAATGCATCTTCTTCCTATGAAAACTTCTAATTAATGTATTTATCTATGTAATAATTTAAGAAATAAACGTAATATATAAATCATTATTTCATATAAATATTCTTTTTTATAATATATTATATATATTTTTATATAAACATTTTGATGCAGAAATCAATTACCGCATTCGTTTTCGAAATACATATATTTTTTTTTGAAATATTAAAAGAAGAAATTCACATGATGAATAAATAAATATATACGTACAAATTAATTTTCTTGTTATTAATATTTCATTGTACATTAAAGAAGGAACATTTTAAAAAATTTTTTAATTATTTATTAAACTACATATATAATAAAAATTCATAAAAATAGAGTGATCAATTAAAATAATTGAGAGAAAATATTTTATCAGTTTTCTTCAAGATATTATTATACAATATATACGGAACGTAATATACTGAATTATGTATTGTTACCTTATATATTCTTTATATTTATTTGTACTATATACATGTATAAAATAAAAAAATTGAATATATGTTGCCTTTATTATTTCATTATTTGTTTCGTGTAGGTTATATTATTTATAATATTTCATTTATATTATATGAGAAATATAAATTTATTTATATTAATTTTTATTGCATTCATATAGATATCTATTATTTCTTAGTTATTTTTCATATATTTTCTTATTCTTATATATTCAATTATTATGCATAGATAATTATAAATATGAGGAATCTGTGTCAATTTTATATTAAAGTTATTAAAAATTAAAAAATCCTTATACATAAAATATTATACGAGAAATATTGACATAATAAATTATTATTACTATAATTAATTATTTTATATAAATATAATCTCATCTAGTTTTAAGCAGACGTGTCATCTGTTCATGTCCACGGTAAAAATTATTTGAGTTCTTATTCAAAGTTTAATAAGTAGAAGTAATGAATTATTTTAAACACTTTATTTAATATATAGAGGATAATAAACTTATATGTACAATATTAGAATGTAAATATGTTTACGTTACAAGAGCCTTATATAACATTTCTTATTCTCACAAAGAGAAAAAATACCTTTTGTATACATAATATTTATGATTTTATATGCTTAATTTTATACATAATAATGTTTTTATTTATAATTATATATAGAAAACGCTTGTACAAAATATATTTATTTTATTTATATTTACGTTCTTAATATTTATTATTATATATAATATACCTAATTTGTCAAAATATTTAATTATAATTATATTATTATAAAATTATAATCCGTAAATTATATTAAATATGTACTGTTTTTTACATTTTATATGAACTTTTATGTATAGAAACAGGAAAATTGAGATGAATTTTAACACAGAATTCATTGCTATATTTTTTTATATATGCATATATATCTCTATATATTTATACTTTTTATATATACTAATGACAGTAATAAAGGATAAAAAATTCATTAAATATGGAAAATGTAAGCTTTATATCTTTATCTGTTGTAAATTTTTATAACTGTTATCTTTCTATGGTATATGATTTATATATATTTATTTTATTTGTATATTTCATATTTTGTATTTTAAAATAAGTTATTCGATGAAGATAAATTACCATCTAATAAATATACAAAGGAATTACTTTGCAGTGTTAATACAAAAAACTTTCTGTTGAAAACTAACTCCGCTTCTGTAAACTCTTCTGATATTGAAGATTGGATACAAGAATTTTTTAGGGTAGCTAGAGTTGGTTATAATCAAATAAAAAAAGAATGCATTCAGAACGATAATAATCAAATGTGTTGTAGGCTTATAAATTATTTCTTAGATTTTATAAGTGCAGCCGTAAATTTATCAAAATTAGTACCATCCGAAAAAAAAAACTTGTTATTTAATCTTGATAATGATTGGAAAGGTAAAATTAGTTCAGTTGATTATATATGTGACAGGCATAAAGAAAAATATTCAAATCTTAAAAGATCTATATTAGCACAAATACATGATTTTCATGAGAACAAACTTTATTTAAAAAGAGTATTAAACGAAGACACTAATAAAATTTCTAAGTATAATAAATACCTTTGTGAGAAATGGAATACGATATATGAGTATGAAAAATCTAGTGCTGAAAATAAAATTATATTCATTATATATAACGGTAAAAAGGAGAAGATCAGCTTTGACCAATTACCTTTAAAATATGAGTTTCCAAAATCTAAAAATTATAATGCTGACAATAATAATAATTTATCTGTTTCTGTTGATGAGTTAACAAAAAATAATGAAAAAGAAAGTATACCCAGTACTATTGTATCAAAGGGTAGAATAACACTTGGAAATGATAATAAAGTGAATAATCTAACACAAGGAATAGAAATTAATACATTTAACATATTTTCAGCTAAAAGATTAATTATTCTATTTTTTATTATATTTTTATCTACTATTCTATGGATTTTACTGTATAAAGTAATGAAATATTAATACATAATAACGTTAATAATTTAACACATATTTTATTGTGAAATTTAGTTCTTAAATAATTATGATTGAATAAATACATTTTTTGCTTATTTTATTTTATTCAGTTTAGTCCTGTTCGATTTTGGATACGCAGAAAAATAGAAAAAATAAAGTTTTTACAAAAATATATTTGTAACGACATGAAATACTCATATTTATCTAATGCAGAGAGTAAAAGATTTAATATAGAGTACAATTCAAGCACTATTGATTATGAAAATTACGTTTGAATAATATTACTTAAAAGTAAATATGAGAAAAAAATTTCCTATGCGCTTTATAGCATATATTTATAGTAACAATAATAAATCAATGAACTTATATACATAATAAAAAAAATTGATATAGTGAGCATTCAATATAGAATGAATTTGTTATATACGATATATTTAAGGAAATGAATTGTATATTTCATAATAAGTTCTAAATAATTTTTTTCATAAGTATAACTTTAAATTATATATAAATTACTAAAAATCATTATAGAAAATACAAAGGCACAACATATATTTTAATTTAGGATATTGACAATTAAAAAAAATATTTTATAAATATTGTCATATATTACGTTATCTTTTAAAATTTTATACATATGTATGAGGCTTATTTGAATTTTTTATTAAAATTCTCTATGTGTTTATGTAAAAAATATATAACAATATGCATTAAATACACAATTAAAGATAAAATATTTTTAATTCTTGTATTTTAAGTAACCAATAGAATTAACATCACGTCTATTTATTGTATTGCATTTTGTTTAATACATGTGGAAAAAAAAATATATAATTTGAATTGAAATTATATATAGAATTAAAGAACAAGAAATACGTATATAAACATAAAAGTCAAAATATTTTTGGATATACTACAATGAGAATATATATAAATAGTCTATATTAAAATACCTATTACCTATGAAATAAAGTTATATTATTTTTTAAAGAGTATCCTATAGTATTTAATAGAATTTATTATAAAATATGAAACATAAATATACATAATATAAATAATTTATAATATTAGTTTATTTAGTTTCTTCTTATTGGTAAGTATAATATTATAAGAACTCTAATAAAATTGGAAAATATATTTCATTAAGTCTACTGTTAATAACTATACAAATAAGTAGGGGTATGTGTACTATTACAGTGTGAATTTATATTTAAAAATAAATATATATAAAGGAATGAATAGTAATAAAGAAAACGTAGATATTCTATGGAGTAATAATATATTATTTAGGTGAACTCTGCAGATATATTTAAATAATCTTCTAAAATATTATATATTTTAGCAACAAATTAACATGACATTATGCTTAATCCTCATATGTTAAAATATTTTATTTTGCATATATTATAAATTAATTGATATGTGGTCTACATTAAGTGAAATATCAAAAAAATTATTTCAATTATATTTTCCTTCAGATTAATTCCATATATTAGTGCTATATATATTTTTTTTTTCTTCATATACTCATCCAATATAGATATTTATACATTGTATAGCTTAGTATATTATATTTTTGTTTTTTATAGAGCTCAGTCATGTATACATTTTATAAAATATATGATATAAATAAGTATTTTATTAATATAAGCTAATTCCTTATTATTTTTTGCCGAATAAAAAAATTATTCTTATTGCACAATGATAAATATATTTGGTACACATAAATCAATATAAATAATAGAATTTTTCATCGCTTTCAATAAATATAATAAATGAGCCAGGGAAAAACGAATCTTTGAAAAATTATTTTACGATAATGAAATATAAGAAATTAATATGAATTAAAAAAAAAAAATGAATGCAATATATCCATGAAATATATTAAATGTACAATTTTTAAATATAATAGATATACATGTTTCAGTAAAATACTTAAATAAAACATATTTTTCATTAGTTCGATAAAATAATTAAACTGATGTTGTTATATAAACATAATAAATATATAATACATCATATAATCAAAATTATAGAATAAAGTGAATCTATAAAAAAAAAAAATCACTGTCGTTTTTATTGCTGTAATATTAGTGTAATGAGTTCTTATTATTAAATACACAAAATAAATAATTTTGTTTATTATTCATATATTTTATACAATAGAAAAAAATATAAAAATATTTATTATTATTTAGAAAAAATAAAAATATATATTAACTTCAGCACACATAACAGCAAAAATAATATATATATAATAACACATATGAATGAAAAAGCACTGAACTCTAAAACCTAAAAAAAGAAAACCTAGTAAAAAATATATATTTACATATTTAATTATAAAAATATAGATTTGTGTATAAGTATATATATTTTTTCGTTTATAGCATATTTTATATTTATTATAACTATATTTCAATTATATATATATATATTGTGTTATTAAAAATAGTATTATCTTGTCCGGGCATTCACTTGTATGCCTAGTATAACCTTATTATAAAATATTATATTTTCATTTTAGATATAAATATATTGAAGTTATTGTAATTGGAATAAAAATATATTTATTACGTAAATTACTGTTACATTTTAAATCACAGGGAACAGATTTATCAATTTTTAATTTTAATAGTGAATATGGAAAATTAAAGCTAGAAACTTCTGCTTATTGTAATGGAAACGATGAAGATGAAATATATGAAGAATTAAAAAAATATATAATTATTAATAAGATTTCAAAGCAACTTAGAAATGCTATGTGCTTTTTGCGTTATAATGCCGAAACGAAAATTGTTAATAAACTTAGTAATATATTTTACCTCTGGTTGGGATATAATATAACTGATGTCATATCTGGTGATCATGAATTTAATTCATTTATATCTATATTTTATGGTATACTAAATAAAGATTATGATACACATAAATTTGAAGAACCTGTAACCTCTAATACTGTAGAAAATTTAAAAAAAATTAAATTATTTCATGATTATTTTATACTTCATGCAAAAATTGAATATGTCCTTAATCAGTTAGATCATTTATGTTCCATGATATAGCTTGAATACGTTCAAAGTGCGATTTCCGCGTACAATAAAATATACGAAGAGTGCATCAACAGTACTGACAAAGGTTATTGTAAAATATATGAGAACATAAAAGCTGAATACCCAAATATAACAAACAAATTAAGTGAACTACAATGTAAAGAAAATGTAAAACCACAAGTAGAATCAAAATTAGTAGAAACTGCTCAATCCGGAGATTTATTAGGAGCAGAAAATATATTACCTCCTATCGGTGAAACTCGACATTCATCCTATAAATATATATATATTACACTTTTACCTGTATTGACTATATCTCTTGTATTACCTTTTTCAAATAGAGTATATATAAAAAATTTTTTAAATGTGACGATTATATTCAAGCACAAATATTAAATTATAAATACAGATAAAATTATAAAATACATTAAAAATAAATTTTTTGCGCATGTAATTTTTTCATTAGTTTAGTCCAATTGCCAAGAGGTTAAAAAAATTATTTAGATATAAGGAAAAATTGTGGTCTAAAATAAAAAAATCATGGAGAGAATGATTTGGAGAAAATTTTTAGGAATCTTCTTCACGATATTATAATAGTAATATTTTTAAAATACCTTATTCCTCTGAATGATATTCCATAATATTTATTATCCGATATTATTTGAAATTATATTTTAGCATGCACGACAGGAATCACTTTGATAAAAGGGTAAGATAATTATAGATTAAAATTTTTATTTGAGGGTTCAGTGTATATGGTTTAGGATTATGTGTTTACTGTATATTATTTATAATTACATAATTTTAATTAGGATTTAGTATAAGTTCACAAGATATTTTGGAGAAATATTCAATAAATGTATTATTTATATACATTAAGTTCAATATTATGAATTATATTATATGTTGCATATTGGTATATATGTATAATATTAGAACAATATATATTTATTTTTCTCCTGTATATGAGTTAATAAAAGACATTAAATAAATTAATAAAATATATATATAAAGACAAGATCAATATATAGAGTTTTGTTTATTTGTAGGCACAATTAATAAATTTACTGTTTTATTCTTTAATTGTTAAAATTTCATTAATAAGCATTAATATAATAAAATAATACTAATAAATCTTTTATATCAGTATATGAAGTTATTATTTTTTTTATTATATTATAATTAAGAAAATTTTATTTTTTTGAATTTTCTATTTATTCTATTATTATTTTATCTAGTTGTTATTTCGAAAAATAATTTTTTTATATACCCTATATATATATAAATTCATTAACTTTATTTACTATATATATGTTAAACAATATATTATTTTTAAGAATTAATAATTTTTAATGTTATATATGTTATTTTTAAAATAAAATATTAACTTTTTATAAAATAGATAATATAAAATATTTAATTTATTTACATTTATATTTTTGAATTATTCATGAATGTACTCCCTATGTATATTTTATTATTATATAAACTTATTCTTTTACATTTCCAGTAATCAAAATGTAATATTTTGTATAGGAAATAAAATAAAATATGTAATATATATCCCTTTGTAAAAATAATATTGGTAATTAACAGTTAAATTTATATGCATATTGTAATCACACAAATTATTTTATTCATAATATGATTTGTACATTAAAATTTTAAATTTACTGTATATGCGATATAGATGATTTTCATTATAAAACATAATCATGAATAAAATATAGATATTATTTTTTGAAAATATTGTTTTAGTGAATAATTTATTTAAATATAAAACATATAAGAAGAAAAGAAATTTGCGTACAAGCAATTTTGATATTATGTAAATAGCATAAATAGACATAATTTTTCACAAAGTTTTTGAGAAAAAGCTTTTTATTGTATGATAATAATTAAGAGAAATTTTTGCTTTTCTTTGTTGTGAGTAATAATAATACTACAAAATTACTCAATATAAATAAAAATAATGGGTCTTATATTCAATTACTACAATAATTAACACTATATTTATTATGAATAAATTCTGTGCGTAATGAAGTATTACATGTTTGAATTATAAAAGAATATGCATATATTATATAAGTAAATAAATGTTAATGCGTATTATCATTAATAACTAAATTATGATAAAAACCTGAAAAAATATATTTCTTGGGAGGAAATTATTATAATATAGTAGTATTTACTGAATTTGGGTAAATAAATAAAAAGTTAGCTTGAAATATTAAAATTTATAGTTATATTATCTATGATTATTTTGATTTATGAATATGTATTATGCCATCTTAGATAAAGTAAATTATAAGCTACATCTATTTGTTTTATATTCATTGATGTATTTCAATATAGGACATTTTATTTAATATTATAATAAAAAATTAATACATGTAAATGTACTGATAAAAAAATATATATACTATTATTTTATTATAGCATACTGTTCTTCTTTTAAATTTTATTCTTATTTAAATTGCATAATAGACTGAATTTTTTATAATTAAAATTATAGACAAAGTATTATATAACTAATAAAAAAAATTTATATATAATTAAAAGAAGTAGTTTATTAAATATAGAATATTAAATAGAAATGAAAAAATATACGTATTAATAATATATAAATTTATTAAATAATTAACATAAATTGGGTATTATAAAATATTAAATATTTTTATTATGATAGATAATGTACTAGTACTATTGGTTATAGTCAATACATATTAGAAAAAAGAGCGTTATTAGAAATATATATATTTAGCATAATAGGAAATGTTAATAAATATATAAACATTTTGATCTATATAAAATTAGTTACATATAATATTATTCTCTCTACATTTCTCTTTAATGTTGTTTTGTATAAGAATATATGTGAATTTGCAAAAGAATGTATAATTAACCTTATTTATTAATAAATGAATCATTAAAATACATAGATTAATAAGGGTAAACCGAATATATACACCAAAAACTATACATTCAATTGTGCACCCAAAATCCTGCAATATAACCTGAACAAAAAGCATAAATATACACACAAACCAATAAAAATATATAATAATTCAAATAACAGGAACTCTAACTTAAATATTATAATAAAACCTAACATTAATCTTACACCATGAACGCTATACCTAAGACTATTTATACAACCGAGAGTCCTTATGTGTAATAATAATCACAATATATTTTTTTTTCACCATTTCATCAATTTTTTTTAAAGAATAAAACATGAACACTAAATCCTTGTATATTCCGAATTTGTGTAAAAATGATCAGAAATATTTTTTATCGAAAAGATTATGTAAAGATGATCATTTAAATCTGATACTCTAAAATGACGCTTCATAAAGAAGAAAATTCTAAAAATATATAGATACTATATAATGATTGTGGATTGGGGGTTAATTACCATGTATACTGCAGATTTTATGGAGTTAAATTAGCGTTTATTGTTTTAGAAATTTCAACAACAGTGTTGTCACAACTCCATGTTACCCCGGATACATTTTGAGGAATGGAAATTTCTTTTATAGGTACAATGTTGATAAAGCTATATAAAAAATTACACTTACAAATTTATACATTCTCTGACTGAAGTGGAATAATGTAATTATTAAAATAAATTAACATGGAAATGATTACATATATTTTCTATTTTCTCAATGTATTAGAGCTTCTTTAGATGAACCAAGTTTAAACAAATAAAATTAAAGTAAAAAAGTGATAACCAAAGAATTTTATAAAAAATATAAATTATAACGATCATCTTGAGATTTAGAACAAACTAATGTAATATACCTCAAGTGAAAATATATCTTTGTTATCGTCTAACATTTTATTTGTGGCTTCATAAAATTTAAGCATTCGGTTATTTTGAACAACATAATTATTTGAGACAAAAAAAAAAATATATGTATATTTGCTCCATAATTGGAAATAAAACAAAATTTTTAAACTAATATATTATTAAAAATATATCTTATATATAGACAATTCGTAATTTTATAATTATCTACATTTATGTCTTGCGTAGATATAATAATTTACAACATAAAAAAAAAAATGTTGATTATAGAGTAAATGAGTAAAATATGTATAACTGTTTATATGATTATATTATTCTGAGTATTTAGAATAATTCAAATTTTATATATATAAAAAATATGAATATATATTAGACGAAAAAATATCAACAAATATATATATAAATAATTTTTTTGTCACTTTTTAGAATAGAGAAAATATATGCTATACATTTGAAAATTTATATCATTTTTATAATATAAATGCTAATGAATATAAATGTAATATTTTTAAAAGTTTATAATAATAAAATATTAGAGAAAAATTAAAAAATAATTAATTGTATAAAGAATGAAAAATATTCTTTTTAAATAATTCATCAGAAAAATATACATTCTATTTATATTATAAAAAATTTGAAATGTATTTTCTGTATTTTCTGGGAATATGAATTTCTAACCATTACAAATAATAAGATGTTATTCCCTTGTATTATTCTTTCAATAGGTATTCTATATATAACAATGTGTCTTCTGTTTCATTATACTTTTGTATGTTTAATGACTATATATTTTCTAAAAAATGTGTATTCTTTTATATATTTCATTTTATAGTTCCACTAATATTCATTTGAATAAACAAAAACAACTTGACAAACATTGATTCTGTTTGTATTAAATAAAAATCATATTTATTGCCTAACATATATGTATATTTTAATGAATATAAACAATTAGTTTAATATATAAATAGATAATTTGAATAAAAATATATTCGCCAAATGTAAAAGAAAATATATTCTACGATGTCCTAAAATTGAAAAAAAAAAAATGTATATATAGATATATGTTGTATGTAATTATCCTTATATTTAATATATGCAATAGAAATAAGAAATTATAAAATATTGTATATATAAATAATACATAATAATAATATATATTTCACTCTGTATTAACTTTAATATCATGTCTTTGTTTTTATCAAAATAATATTACCAAAATACGTGTAAAATTATCATTTGTCATACAACAACACTAGGTTTAATATATATATGTAATTTTATAATATTTATTTACAATCAACAATATAATCTTGTTAATATCATATAACATTAGTCGATTTTCATGTATTATTTTTAGGATGTATATATATTTATTTAAATAAAACAGTTCATTTTATAAATCTATTGATAATTAATTATAATGTAAAAAATAAATGTTATATTTTATACCTGCATTAAATGAATTACAAAAACTGAAAATAGACATTTAATAATGTGTAAGAAAATATTTAAATTCCATATATTTAAAAAAAAACATTCAAAATATTATAATGTGCATTAATTCATGTCTCCGTAATTGCATTTATGATAACATCTCTAAATATTTAAATATTTCATAATCCTCAAAACCTGTGCACTAAAAGTGGGATTGTTTATGTTTACCCCAACTGGGGATATTAGATCCTTCAGTAAATATTATATTTTTGAAAGTTTTTTACAATGCTTAGTTTTATTCTTTATCCGCTATAAAAATTTATACATATAATTGCACTATAATTTTATCACTAATAAGTTTGTTAGAATACATAAATTAAACCCTTTATATTTTTTAACCATGTAAATTAATAGAAAACATACTTATGAATCGATATAATAGATATTTTCATTTATAATGTAATATAAATATTGATTAATGAACTATATATTTTCCTCATTTCAGTTGCGTATGTACTTATATTTATTTAATTCATGTATTATATATTAGACATTTAATAAAAATATATATAAATTAATATTAATTATTTGTACGTTCCTACAGTTTATAAAAATAATTTTTACGAATATTCGTATAGAAACTCATTATTATTTACTTTAATATGATTTAATTACAAGGAGAATTATATTCATTTACACTTTTAATAATGTACATACAAGGATTTTTTAATTTTATTATGTAAATAAAAGAATATGTAGCATAGGTTATTTAGGTATTTGGATATTAAAAAAATCCAAAGAATTATAAAACATAATGAATCTTAATATATATTAGTTAGTTAAAAAATTTTTGCCTTAATGAGAAGATTTTTTTTTTATAAATATTGAATATCTTTTAAAAATCATATTTTATGTATTTTAAATGATTCCTTTAAATGAAGAAACCTGGAAACAATATGATGTAATGTTAATCAATTATAAACATTTTTTTTTGCATGTATTAAATGTTACATCTAGTATATAAAACATTTTAATTCATTTTTTTATGTAATATATTTAATTTTTCTTTGCATGGTAATTTTTATTTAGCAATTAACTGTACCATTTGGGCTATATTTAACTTCCGAGGATTTCTATGAAAGAATAGAAAATGTACAAAATTTAAGTGAGTTTTCTGCACGATGTGAACACTTACGAACTATGAAAAATGGTATGAATGTTAGGAATGCTTGTGTAAAGCTATTAAAATATTTAAAATATAATGCAGAAAGTTTAAATAAACGTGATGCCTATGATGTATGCGAACTTTTAAATTATTGGTTAATCGCTAGATTAAGTGCCAATGTAGGTTACAATGATAAGGAACAAACAATAGATGCTTTTGCAGCAATTGCAAACATATGGAATGAATTTACTTCAGATGTATTAAAGAAGCCTTATCATGAATCATGTAATCCTCTTATGAGTATTATTGGTCTTCGTGACTGGAGACAGAGGAAAGATGTGTATGAATACTATGTTAATTATGAGTACCTTAAAGGTATGTCTAGAATACAAAAAAGTCATAAGGGTTACTGTACATACATTAGAAACAAAGTTTCATTATATAGTTATTTTGATCATACTTGTAAATCAGATGAAACACAATTTTGTACAGTATTTCAAACTAAATATAAAGATTGTGACCCACATAATCTTTTACTTGACTTTCAATGTGAGGAAGAAATGAATATGCGAATGTTAGAAGCATCACCAGACTTACAATTACACGAAGATACGTATTTACAAGGCAAAATATCTGAAATTAAAATTCAACCTTCAGGGTTGACCATTGAAGGAACACAAACTGTTAAAGTTTTACAGTCAACATCTAATAGTTTAATCCCTTTGAAAAAAGCAGGGGGGGTACTTATGGGAATCGTTGCTATATCTATGATTTATGGGTTTTTACATAAAGTAAATAAGAGGCCCATTAAATTACATCAATAATATATATTTGTTTAAAACTTACATTCCCTATATAGCTGTCAATAATAATTAAATATATTTAGTATTTTATATAATATTTATTTCTATAAAAGTTTAAACCCTTAGGATTTTGGATCAATAAAAGATTTGCTAATAAAAATTATTCTAGAATCAATGTAATTTCTGAGTTTAATGATGCATTTGATTATGCACAAGAATCACATAATCCGTATTACATCTTTAAGGATGAACATTATATAGGATATCACACGGATTAAATTCATTTATAATCAGATATATAATAGGTCAATTTAGTAAAAATATATGTGAAAAAGCAGAAAATATATTTCCTAAAAAATAATTCTGTTGATAGGTGTAAAAATTTGTATAATAAATAAAATAGTATATTCTTGAATCTCTATATTCCATGAATATTTGCATATACAATAAGAATGAAAGATACAAAAATTAAGATTAAATTATACACATATAAATAATAAACGGTCGAAATGTATAATTACAAAAATATATAAATTATATAAGAGAAAAAATTTTTACTTAACGCAGAAATTTTTATTTTATATATATAATTTTTTCGCCTAAAAGGTAAATGAGTTACTTTACAAAAAGGCATCTTATATTATTTACTGGACAAATTCATAATGGATATAAACATATAATATTAAATAATACTGTTTAATAATTGATCATATATAAATATAATAGGTTTCAAATAACGTAATATTTCAGTTTTCATTATATTTATATTTTAATGATGACTTTATGCATGGGTAGATCAACGAATTGGGGGTTGTGTGTATTTATACAATAAAAAATATAGTGTGATTTTAATTTAGAATACATAGTATATTAATTTACATTTATTATTAACTATATTATATACAACGTGTAAAATATATTATATTACGTTTTAAAATATTTCTTACTCTGTATTAATACAAATAATGTGGAAAATTTTTATATTAATATAAAACAAACAATATTATATTTTTACCAAATGGATATAATTATTTATGTTTAATCTATGTTTAGTATCTATGTTAGAAATAATAAAAGGAAATTATAATTATTATGATGAAATATAAACTATTCTATTTATATCATTAAATTATGTAATTTTAAAGGTTACACCCTCTTTATTTGTACGTAATAGTTCTACTAATAAAGTAACACATATATGTTTTAACAAACTATTATGCTTTAAAGTATAGACTATATAATATTCTACAAAAAAATATAATAATTCCATTATATAACCTCTTGTAATATGTTATGTTATTCTCAAAATATCATATCCAATTTTTATACAAAATCCACGGTAATATGTATTTAAAATGAACAGTAATACACAAAAACATCATTATTATTTAACTATATATATATACATATCAATAAAATATATTTGTATTATCCTACATATATTATATATAAGTATCATAATATTAAAAATGTAGTTATAAATTGTTAAATTATTCAGACTTCACTGTGTTGTTACTTAAGTAAAAATTTTCAGTGGATAAATATATGCAAATGGATTCTTTATATATAAAATATTATATATATAACCATATAGAAATCGTTGATATTAACGCTAATTATTATTTATAAGTATTTTTATTGAATAAGATAATATATTTCCGAATTAAGTTATTCATTATCATAGTTATTATTTTTTAAATGCTACATGTACTACAATATATTTTGTTTTTCTTCTTTAATCTATATAGAAATATTAGAATATTATATTGTTTATTATAATAAATAATAATGGTGAATATATTTAAATCTATATATTGTGTGTTTCTATATTCATATATAACAATTACCATGTTGTATTTTTAATGTATGCTTTACGTTACTATATATGTTATATATACTAATATTTTACGATATCATAATATTAACAATATAATATATATTCTTATTTTTATTTTATACTATTAGATTATACTATAAATTTGTTAGAGCAAATTTTAAAAAAAAAATCAAAACACATTATTATTTTATATAATAAGCATTTTACACAAGTAAATATATAATTTTTATGTATCTATCTTAATAATTAAAGTAGAATCATGAAAATTTAATTCATCTTATGAAGATAAAATTCATGTATAAAGCACTATTTTATTTACAGGAATAGTTATCAAAAATATGATTGAATAAAAATAATACATAAACTAATGGTTATATATTGATTATTATTACAATATGAAATTGCGTTAAAATAAAAAAAGATAAGTATGATATCTTATTATTACTTAATAACTTTTTTCAGAGTACTTAATTTTTAGCGTTATATATGTATTCGTTTGCAATAGGATCAAATAATATTTTTACAGTATATATTTCAGTATTACATAAGGTGAATATATTTTTAATTTTAGTATATGATATATATTAATATACTAAAATTAAATATTTTTTAATATCTCTGGTTATTAATCTTCTTCATAGGAGTATATACACTTTTACTTCTTTTTTTACTTCATTCACATAAATTCGTAGACTAAAGTCAATACTTAACGTGAGAAATTTTATTTTCCATAAGAATAATAATAGCATGGGTTCATATATTATTATGTATTAAAAAATAATTAAAATAAATGATACATAAAAAATAAGAGTTCATTTTTTAGACCCTATGTAAAAGGATTATTGGGAAAGCAAGTTGTATATTATATATATTATTATTTTAGATGAAAATAATATTTTAACTTTTGTGAATATATTATTCTTAAATGAATAATATATGGTATATATATATTTTATTTAATTTTTTTTTAGGATATATATGTAAATTATTTCCTTTAATAATAAAGTCCTTGTCTACAATATTTTTGTATTCTAAAATATATGCAGCGCATTTATAATAAATATGCATAGAATGATAATGTATTTAATAAATATTTTTATATACACATTCGAATTTATTGTAGTTTTTTGCTAAAAATTCTTCGGTAGAATGTAATGTATCACTATAATATATATTTAAAGTATATTAATATGTGAAAGATGATTTAATAAGATTTTTACTTAAATATATTAATATATATATTTTATTATATTTATTCCTATATTTAATAACAAACATAAATGACAAATAAAATTTTCTGTTTCTCTAATATATAAATTAGATGTATAAATATATAAATTGAAGGAAATTAAATTTTTATATTTTATTTTATTCATAAAATGTAACACAAATATAATAAAAATATTTTAAATACAATAGACTAAATAATGAATGCTAATTATAAAATGAATTATGCATTTCTTACAAATGCCGTATTAAACATTATACTTGAGATTTTTGTTTTTTTTTTTTTTAATAAATTAATCATTACGCATTTATATACATTATTGTTTTTAATGTTGCTATGAAAAATAAATTACTTCATGTGACAACACTAATATTGTATATATATATGATTAATTTCAATTGAAAACTTAAAGGCAAAATATATAAATATTTTAAGTGTTTTTTTTTATTATTATAAAATATTAGTATTCAAAACATTTTTATTCATATTTTGTAAATATATATATCCTTTATAATTATATAAAAACTGAGAGTAATATAATTATTAGTTATATGTTACATATACACCATAACATAGTGTGCCTTATCCACAAATTGGATATTAATGGAATTATATATTTGCATATAGATATAATAAATATAATACATAATTTATATGTTTTAATGCTCTATGATTAATTATAATATATAATTATTAATATATTTTTGTTCTAACATATTTATTTTTATGTATATAATTATACGAATAAAATTATATATATAAGACACAATATATATGTGTTTTCTTTAGTAATATATACATGGAACTATGTATTATTTATAAGTTATTATAGACAACAGTAGTTTTATAATATGTATATAAATATTATTCTTATTTCTTTAATCATATTAAATGAATAAATTCTCATTTTTTCCTGATTAATATCTTATTTTATCTGTTGTCATGATTACAATTACTATAACCTTCATATATATGTATATTTTTGTATTCAAACTGATTATAATATTTCTTGTATTGAAATGGGAATCTCTTATATTTATGGTAAATATTAGGCATATATATTTTTCCTTTTATAACTCCGTTATATGAAGAATATGCAAATAAATTTTAAATTAATAATATCATATTTTACCATTTTTTTAAGTAGATGAACAAAAATTAAATCATTTACAAAAAAGAGTATACTCGTTTTTTTAAATAGAATGTCTTATTAAAAAATATATAAAGGCAATTATTTTATTATTGTATGATAATATGAATATGTCGTAAAAAAGTGTAAATATTTTTGTGTAAATATATTTTAAAATATTCAGTATGTTTGCAGTTTGAGTATTCCTATATAAATAAGTTTCTACATAAGCTTTATCATTATGAACATGGATTTCATATTGCTTATTAATATAATTGTGATATAACGTTGTTTAATCCACAATGGCTATTTAATCAACTTTAAAATATTTTGGTCATTTTTTTCTCATTTACTAATCGTTTTACATGAAATCGCTGTTCTTTATTCTACAATTCTCATAAATTGTGTTGAAAGGTCATATCTAATTTTTTCACACTTATCAATTTTATTAGGAAACATAGAGGTACTTTAAAATGCGTGAAATGCTATTATAATTTAGTGCCATGTAAACACTGACGTGGTTATGTATAGCGTAATTAATGATATTTATAATAGTAAGACAATTTTTATTTTTTAATTTACTTTTCTACTCGCATCATAATTATTATATATATACATTGCACATAGTACTGCTTTATTATATTGCTATATAACGTGAAAAATATATTTCACTTAAGCACAATGTAATTATGGATTAATATATAATAATATATTGCTAAATTCCTAGGCATCACGATCAAAATATATATGAAATTTATGGTTAAATTATTAATTATTTGAAACATGTAAACTGTAATAAAATTAATTTAATATAACACTTAGCAGAACTTGTAAAAATTCATATAAAATTATTACATGAGGTGTACAAGTGTAATTAATTTACGTATTTATTATGGCGCATAATATCATTATTATGACTATTTTGTATTCGAATTTTAAAAATATATCCCATATTTATACTTATTTTTATTGAAATATAGTGTTCTTTTGAATAAACATTAATATTTTCTTCAAGGATAAAATAAAAATTGTAAAAAGAGTAGGTATGCAAACAATAATAATACATTTTTTTTAATGTATTCAT